AGGAAAGAGATGCTCCTCACCAGCATCTGTGGGGACAAAGTGGGGTCCCTGTGACCTCGTGCTCTTCCTTGGCCATCCCAGAGCCATTCTGCATCCTCGCAGCCCAGCTCACCCGCAACATCATTTGCTTACTGCATACGTACACCTCCAGGATGACAGAGGTGCTTTGTTCAAACTCATCTCTACCATCGCTTCTCGAACCGCTGCCTGGGGGGCCACCCCATCGCCCGCTGTAACAACGCGCTGGGTACTCCAGGTCCCGTCCCGGCTGACGTCAGCCCATCAAACTCCGTTCCCACACCTTTGTTTTAATACAGTGGGAATAGCCAGCTCCCCAGAGACATCGCACAGAACGAAACCCTCTTTCCAAACAACACATTCAGCTCCTTTTGCCATGGGCCTTGTTTTAATCCCTTTCTCCTTGCCTAAAGTTCAGTTGAAATGAAGCGGGGAGGGGGGAATCTCATAAAAGACCACATTAGTTCTAAAGAGAAATAACATCACTGCTACCGGCACTGACCTGGGGAGTCCTGCGGAGAGGCAGCCAGGCTCCGGTTATTAAAGAAAGAGGTTTACTGCCAAAGAGCAGTGAGAGAGGATTGTTGTTCTAAATAATAAAAGTAATAAAACATTACCATGCGAAGGGATGCGATCCCCCTCCGCCTGCTTCCTGCCCAGGCAGCCACAGCTGGGGACGTCACGTATCAGCAGGCGGTGACAGCACAGCCAAACTGAGCAGGACACAGAGGAACGGGCACAGGGACAACCCACTCCCTCCTCATCACACTCCAGGGCTGGGTTTTGAGCAGTGGAGCAGCGGCTGTCCCGCAGCAGTGGCACCACGCAGGCAGCAGCTCCGCAGAGGGGCTGGAGGGACTGCCGGGGAATTCGGGCTCGATGCTCCTTCAAGAACAAAGATACTCTGCCGAGGCCACAAGGAAGGAACACGTTTAGGGCCTGCCTATGCAGAATTATTCTGAAATAGGTCTTGTGTGTTAAACTCATTCTCTCTTACTCCAGAGCTGCTTTCCTGCGAAGACAAGCCCTCAGACCCCATCGGTTTCCATCTCAGAGCCTCACCTGCCTGAAATCACCCAGCTGCTGCTGCTGGGGCTTAACGATGAAAATCCTCCTGATGGTGTTAAGAGACACAAACAAGCAGGGAACCTGGCTGGCTACTGCAGAGGGATGTGCAGCAGGGGTCCCACATACACAGCGGAACAGACCCTGAGCTCCACGTGCAGTGCCAACAGGATTTAAATCTGTCTCCAACCTGGGGATTAGGGTTTGTTATCACTGAGAACAAATTGGGCAACTCCACCAAACTGACGTGCAACATCAGATGGGAGAAGGATTTCAGCGGTCGCAGGTGGGTGTAAATCACCCACCGTCCATCCTCCGCCAGCAGCACGGGGCAGCGCGACCGGGCACGGGGAGCTCGGCGGGTCAGGCTGTCCCACCCGGGGCTCAGAGCCTCGCTGCTGCTGGTTACGAACTGGGACTGTGCTCCCCTGCAGAG